GGGGGGTGGGGGTGGGGTAGGGGGGGGAAACAACCCCATTACCACCACCAAAACCACCCCAGCCTTTTCACAGCTGGGATCCAGGCATCTGGAGCTCCACTGAATTAATGAGATGCCTGTGAGAGAACCCCGAAGCAGATTTCTCCCCTGCTCCCAAGACTGGCCTGCATAAACCACCAGTAAAACAGCAAGGCAAATCCTTTTCAAAACAGGAGGGAAGGGCTGAATTCCTCCCTTCTGCACCTTGGCAAATCTCCTGCCAACAAGCCGGCAGCCTCAGTCGCTGTTACAGCTTAAAGGCCAAACCCTGGACATCTGCAGAGCCCATCTCCAGCTGCTTGTTTTTCCTCTCGCGTGTGCTGGACTCGGCCACTGTCCCCGATGGGAGTTCCCACACCGCCTCTCGCCATCTCTCCACAAAGGGCCGTTCATGGAGCAAGTGTCAAACAGCACCAGCCCCTCGTTCTCGCGCCAGCCGGCATGGCCCGAGCAGGGGTGTGCCCCTTTGGCAGGAGAGATGCTGGAAACGTTGGCTTTAACGGGGAGCCTGGGCTTCTTCCCAGAATGCTTGTACCAGCCTCAGATTTTGAGGGCCTTCCTCTCTTCCTCCTCCTCCTCTGACCTTCAGCTGTGCAGAGAGGAGGAGAACCAGAGGTGAAGTCTTTCAGGTAGTCCAGGCTCCCCTTCCTGGGGGACCAGCTCCTGCTGGTGCCCAACCACAGAGCCAGCGTGGAGCAGGGTTGGGGTTGGTGGATGTGTGAGCTTCCCCATGGAGCTGCAGTGCAGGGAGACATCACCTCGTCGTTAGCAACGCTGGATTTCTTCCCAAACTCCTCTGTACCCTTTTTGGGGGACTTTGAAGGCATATGCCCAACCATGAACAATTGAATCCTGTATGGGTTTAGGGGCAGATCAACCAGTTGTGCCTGCTTTATTTTAACTCAAGCTTCACTTGCATGTGCAGGAAAAAGAAGTCCTGTACCAGTTTGGCAGGTGAGGAGCAATCATGCTGTCGGATGCCTTCTTGGGAGGGTCGTGATCCCCACCAGGTCAGGTTTGGGCCTCAAGACTATATTTATAGGGGCTGTGCTCACTAGGGATTGTGGAACTGGGGAGGGGGGGATCAGCCACGCTCCAGCAAAATGAGCTGCATCTACCCAAACCCAGAGCTTCGCTGGGACCAGAGAGGGTGAAATGAGAAATCCTTGGCTGAGGCAGAACCTGGACTCACGCTGTCTCTGCCTGTTCATGCTTCAGCACTGTCCCCTCTCGGGTGCAGGCTGGTCCCCTTCCCTCTCCTCAGCCCCAGGGCTGTGGGAGGGCAGATTTGATGCTTGGTTGGTAAAATCCTCTTTTCTCTTTGCACCACCGGCAGGTCAGCCTGCACTTGAACAGGCAGGAGTTGATCACAGGATTCGAGCAGAAAGGATAAATCTGCAGAGATTCAATCCTCACTGGTCAGGTTTTCTACGGCCGCTCTGTGCGCCCTGCTGCTGCAGCAAGGTGTGCACTAACAGGTATGCTAACACCGACTCCTGAGGATGTATTTTCAGGCTTAGGGGCTGGCTGTGGCGTGCAGAGAGCTGTAGGGATGATGTCCGTTGCAGAGCAGCAGCAGCTGTGGGGAGGGACGTTTACTCCAGTGTTACAAATCTTCCCGAGTCCGCTGCTGCTTCATTTATTTCCTCTCCTGAACAGTGGTTGAAAGTACGTTGGGATTACAAACGGCCCTTCCCCAAGGACAGATTATCTTGAGGTGCGTGTGCAGGATGGTTCACACGTTATCAAATGCAATAGCTGGGGAGGGGTAACATGGGTTTGCAGAGATTCATTATTCCCGTGGAGGGATGAATAATTTATAGATTAATTTTTCTTTACTCTATGGATTGACTCTAAATTATGAATAACTGAAGGCGATGTTCAAGTTATCATCATGTGTCTTTCCCCAAAGGCTTCCCCTGTTTCATTCTCCACATTTCATTCTGGAGATAAAAGGAAATAAAAGGAAAACCGAATTTTTATTTTGGGCCTTTGAAGAATGCTACAGGTCTGGGTGTTCACAGTTCATTCCACTTATAGAGAGCAAGTCCACATTTTTCTACTTTTGGTGTAAAGGTTTAGTCCCCTGGCTCTTGAGTATTTATCAGATTTGGCACGTCTGTATGTGTATGTTAGCTGTTTGGGGTTTACATCTCTGGGGAATAAAGGATGATTATTTTTTTTTTCTTTTCTGTATACAATGTCACTTTTTATGTTTTTTGGCCGAGGTATAGTTCTGACTGTGTGTTGGAGTGTGACACTAAAATGAATTAAATGGTTACTGATGTCCATCTGCTGGGTGTTTTCTGTACAACTGCCACGCAGCAAACCCCAGGGCTGGGACGGACCTCACCCAAAACACGCCGGACCCAGGGCTCTGTGCTATCCATCTCCACTGCTCTCTCCTACAGCTTCTCTCTTTTCTGGCTTTTCCAACTTCAGCTGCTTCAGCACGTAACTCTCCACAGGCAGCGGCTGCGTTCGCAGCGGGGCCCCGCACTGTGCCCTTGCACTGAGCTGACCTTGTGCCCCTAAATAATCAGATCGTTTCTGATGATTTTAACGGCTGGAGAGAGCCTAATTTTTCCTTCGAAATTAATTAAGAGGTAGTGCCTTTTTTCCACACGATGCGTGACGTTGGAGGAGTTTCTTGCGCTTGGAGAATTAATGACTCATTTGCTTTTCTCCTACCGCTCTGCCGCTCCTGCCCCCTCCGCCCTTGGGCAGGAGCAGCCCACGCCAGGCCACGCGGGTGTTTATTTCTTTCACCAGATTTACAGCCGTGAGTTTGAGCGTTGGGAGTGATGATGTCCAAGTCTCCACAAGCCTTTTCTTGGCTGCAGCTGGGTGGGTGGCAGACGTGCATGCTGTTCGGCAGCATCAGGCCACAGCTCTGCTGTGCTTAGGAAAAGGAGCTGAAGTGTTTGTCTTTGGGCTGTGTCAGAAAAGGCTTTGGCAGAAGGCGTTCCTCCGTGTGCTGGCTCTGCTGGGGCCGATTACACCAGCTAGTGCTACCATCACCCAAAAATTTCTAGGTTAAAGCTTGTGTTCATTCCCTTCTCGCAGCCCGAGCAGCTCCGCCAGTCCTGAGCCACAGTCTGGGTGGGAGCACATGGGCTCGAGTACTTGGCTGAGCTTGCCTTTGAGAGCACAGGGGGGGTGTCTGGGGGTGGTGGTGAGCTGGTGGGGGGGACCCTGCTGGGACTCTGCCTGGGATATGGGGTCACCAGGACCAGAGTACACAGGTTTCCCTGTGCTCAGGCCTCTGGGAAGTGGTGGGGCCCTCCCTCTCCCAACACGGAGACCTCACGGGGCTGCTGTCGGGGTCTGGATCCCACGGGGAGGGGAAAATCAGCCTGTGCCAGTTGCAGCACATGGGAAAACCTCGGCTTGTGGCTCAGCGGTTTATGGAGGGCGGCAGCAGCAGGGCTGTAAAATCTGATCAAAACTCGGCAACTTCAGCCACGTGCTGTCAGCGCTTATCCCTGCAGCCGACCCCCCCGGACCGTTCCCAGGGCTCCTTGTTGATCCCGTCACACAGAAGCGTCGCCGTGAGCGTGACTCCCGTGCCCGGTGGATTCGTGGTTTGCTCCTTGGGGAGCAGCCTGACATTTCCCATCGTTTGGAAATCATTTTCTATCGTCACCAAATATCATGGGATCCTTCTGATTTGCTTCCCCCTGCCCGCAGCCCTGGCTCCCCCCACCACATCAATGTGCCTATTGTTCAGTTGTTGATTAACCCAAGCACACCCGGCCCGGTGGAAAGTCCTTTATGGAAGGAGGATCTTGATAAGATACTCCTATCTGCTTTGTCCCGGCTGTGTGCAGGCAGTTAAAAAGTAAATAATGTGGACAAACAGGCTGTGATGTACGGGCATGGGAAAAGATTTTCAATGCCATCGGGGATTGCACAGATCAGTACGGTTTGAGAGGCTTAAAAACAGACAGGCTTTCTGAGAGGGCAGAGCACAGTGGCTATCGATAGTGTTGTAGTTACAGAGCAGTTAAAATTCTGGTTGAACACTTCCTTTTCATCCTAGCAGGAGAATTTGCAGCTCTGGGTGTTGGCGCTGCAGCAGAACCTTGGGTCTGAGGCTGGTGCAAGGCGGGGTGGGCTGCAGAGCCCCCTTGGCTGCTCAAACATCTCCATTTCCCCTGCCAAGCCCAGAAATGAGAGCCTAGAAGGGCACAAAAAAAATCAGCACTTGTGTCAAGCCGGGCCAGAGTGGGAGGGGTTTTTTTGGTCAGTAAATAAAGGGCAGCAAGATTTCCAGAAGCCGGTGCAGCTCTGCTTATCCCAGGCATGGCCGCCTGCAGCCTCACGCTGCTGCCCAGGCACCGAGACCCCTCGGGCTCGGACCCTGATCCCACGGGAGCGGCGTTGGGGGCACCCACAGCCCTCAGAGGTGGCTGCTGGGAGGTGCCGCAGGTTCCCCCCCCCCCCCAATTGCACTAACTCGGCTATTGGCAGCGTGGTTATTAGCCCAGGAGCTGCACGGCAGCTCTGAAATAATGATCATGTTCATCTGGAAACTGCTCCAGCGCCTTCTGAGGCGTCTAATTTCATAAAGGGCTTTTATGGGAGATTTTAGAGCAAGGAACGATCACTTTTCCCATTGCTCGAGGAGACCAGAATCTCTTTTTTGGGATGTGTTTCAATCAAAAGGAAGAAAACACCTGTCCAGCACATTTGCTCAGACCCCAAAGATTTCAATCACAATTTTTAATGTTCTTTTTCTTTCCATCTGCATTTTTCAGCAAAGACAAACAGCCTCATAGTATTTCTTCAAAGGAATGTAAATTCCTTGAGGAAGTCTCCGGAGTTCCCAGCACCACATAGCTGCAAACCACAGACGCCTACGGCTGAAAGTTCTGCTCTGCTTTTAATTTTGGGGCAGGGAAGGAATTCTTTTCAGGGGTTTGGGTTCACTTGCGCTGGGCCCATCAGGCCAGACTGCTTGTTACTGCACAGGGGAGTGTTGACTTTGGCTGCCTGCAGACAGTTGCTTTCCCTCCACAAGAGTATTCCCCCACTGAATCTGATGACACGGCGTAATTATTTCATTAGGATTTTCCAGAAAAACGTTCCCTCCGTCTCCTCTAGTGCTAGAAAGACCTTTTGCCTCTGTTTTCTCGTTTCAGCTTCGGCGGCTTTGCCTAAAAAATGCAATTAAGGGTGGCAGCGCTGCTGATGGAGTCGGAATCCTCAGGATGAGGGAGTGAGAAAGAGCAGCCTGGAGGGAAAACCGTGAGTTTTGAAGGGTGCTGTTAAACTCCCGGGGTGAGCGAAGCCTGTGCGCAAGAGCTGCTGCTTTGCGGCCGCCGCAAGGCCCCTGTTTCCGCTCTTCGAGGAAGCCGGGGCGGCCGCTGCCGAGGTTGAGCAATGGGAGCGGGTGGTTGGACCCCGAACCACGGTGTCCCCTGTTCCCTCCCCAGTCCCCGCTCTCATCCCCAGCGGGCTCCTGCGCTGCCGTTAACCCCCGCGGCCGGGCCCAGGCTGCCCCTCG